CACTCAACCTCACCATAATCAATAATATAAACGTGCACGGCATCACTCGTCGTGCTTTAACACTCTCCCTCACCAAAATAATGAACAATAATAATGGGGAGATAGAAATAACAACAAGTCCTTCTTCAACAGTTACTTATACAATATCAACCTAGACTCTTAGTCCCTACTCAATCAACACCAAAATACGTACATATGATAAGAACAATCAACATAACAATAAATTAGTCTAAGCATGGGTAATATGATCATGGAAAGCTACAATTTTATGAATAGGACTCACTAGTATGTTATGACTCAACAACAATGTATAGGTACTCGTCCCCTCACCTATACATTGTACTCAACATTTAAACACGTAGCAAATAGGCAATTAATACCTAATCCCTCAAGCCAAGGTTAACCACGACACTTACCTCGCTCCAACGGCCAAACTCAAAGCTCAATAACAATTTTTCTCTTCACACAAGCCTCCGGACCAATAGAATCTATCAAATTACCAACCAAACAATTCAATTTAAGTGTTAGGAACTACCCACGATAACAAGGAATTAAATTTAGGACATTTTTTAAAAAGTCAACACCCGAGCCCGCTTGGTCCAAACCCGAAATTCAGACCAAAACCCGATTACACATTCACCTCCGAGCCCGGATATACAATTGGTTTTGGAATCTGACCTTAATTTGAGGTCTAAATCCCCAAATTTTGAAATCCCTAGTTTCTACCCAAAAACCTTCATTTCTACCATGAAAATCTTAGATTCTAGGTTGAAATCTTGTAAAAAAAAGTGAAAGAGAAAGAAACTTTAAGAATCACTTACTTATGATGTGGGGAAGAAAACGTCTTTGGAAAATCACCTCTTGTATTTTAGGTTTTGAAAATTTGAAGAATGAATGAAAAATCACGTTTTCCAACTACTTGTTCAACTGCAGGTATCGCATTTGTGATATGGGGTTCGCAAATGCGAACTTCTCTTCACTAATGCGAAGATTTACTTGGGCCTACTAACGTCGCAAATGCGACCCATGGTCCGCAAAAGCGAACTGCCAGGATCGCAATTGCAAAGCTGCCCCTCCCTACCCATTGTTCGCAAATGCGAAGATTCTTCGCAAATGCGAGGCTCACATTTGCGAGACAGAACTCACAATTATGAAGTCTGCAGACCTGAAGCACACCAGCTATAATTTTTCTAAGTTCAATTCACTCTGTAGCCTACCCGAAACTCACCTGAGCCCTCGGGGCTCCAAACCAAACATGCACACAAGTCATAAAACATCATACTAACTTGCTCGCGTGATCAAATTGCCAAAATAACACCTAGAACTACGAATTTAGCACCAAATTGAATGAAATTCAATTTTTATTTTCTCAACCGCACGTCCAAATCACGCCAAATCAACTCTGATTCTCACCAAATTTCACAGACAAGTCTTAAATATCATAATGAACTTGCACTAGGCTACGTTCCAAAATACGGACGCGATACCAATGAGATCAAACATTAATCAAATGCTTAAAATCATTAAATTTTCGGACTTTTAATTTTTATCAAAAATTCATTTCTCGAGCTAGGGACCTCGGAATTCGAATCTGGGCATACGCCCAGGTCCCATATTTCGATACGGACCCACCTGGGCTGTCAAAACACGAGTCCGATTCCGTTTACTAAAAACATTGACCGAAGTCAATTAAATCAACTTTTAAAGGCAAAAAATATTATTTTCATCAAAGTTCAAAATAAAAGCTTTCTGGAAACACACTCGGACTGTGCATAAAAATCGATGAGGGTAAAAATGAGATTTTAAAGGCCTCGAAACATAAAATCGAGTTCTAAAACATAAGATGGTCTTTTGGGTCATCACAGTATGCAATAATAATTACCCAACTATGAGTCGGGGTCGAATCCACTAGTAGTTATGGGGGGTGTTAGCGGTATATATTTGAAGCAAGCAATTGGACTATCTAAGATTGCACTTCCACAGAATTTTGTTTTCTACTTCTATCGTAACTCTAATGAATGCAAGCTAAAGGAAATAGACTAGACATAATGTTTTTGAGGTTTTTTCCAAATAGTTTAAAGGCTTAGGGATGTGACCATAATCTACGTGTTTGCCCAATGGGATAAAGACATTAATGCTTGTTTTATTGCTTGGGGTGTATTACAGCTCTCAACTCTACATTACCCACTCAATACCTCTCGGTCAGAGAGTGATGTTGCCCAATTTGGCTTTCTCACATCCAAATGGGTATCAACTAGAACAGTTGATATGAGCTCAAGTCGGGTCCTTACTATCTCTAGTTTAAACCATTTAATTAGGTTAATCAATCTCTCAATTAACCCACTTCCTTGTTAGCCAGGTTATCCTAGACTAGATCCCTCTTTCTCAAGTAGAGACTAAGTCAAATAGGCATGAATCAATGTATGCAACCATTAATTCTAAAATTGAAGCATAAACTAAGCTAAATAATCAACACCCAATCATAAAACAAGCATTAAATTAATTACCCATAAGGTTTATACACTAGGATTGGGTGACAACTCTAGTAAAAGTCTAGCTACTCATAATGAAAATTGCAGAAAATAGAGAAGAAAATCTAATTAAATTCATAATGGAAGATTAAAATGATGAAATCTAATGTTAAAATACTCAAATAAGCTAAAACTTCTTAAAATAGTAAAACGAAATGGCTACTACAGCTTTGAATGTTCAAACTTGACCAAATTTTGTGAAACTCATCTATTTATACAGGGCAAAAAATCACGGACAAAAATGCCCCTCTAGAGATTCTGTGGCCTCATAATTACATATGTGATTGGCAGATTTCTTCAGTTGGCAGGAAGGAGAAGTCTACAGCCGCACATTTCTAAACTGTGGCTGCGAAGCAACTTCTGCGGCCGCACAATTCTTGTGTGGTCCGCTCTTTTGCAAGGCGTCTTGCGAAGCAACTTCTGCACATTCTTTGTATTTGAAAATATTTGTCAGTGCAAGACCAGTTCTGTGGCCTCACAATTCATGTGCGGTCCACACATTGTTGAAACTCTTGTTGGACTCTTTAGCTTGGGTTGCGGCCGCAGATGGAATTTTGCGGTCCGTAATTTCTTCTGCGGATCGCACATCTATGCTTCTGCATCCTTTACAGCATTCCTGCAATTTATAATTTTATTAGTTTTTGGAACACAATTCGATACTTTCGAACTAAGACAAGAGCAAAAATATGCTAATAAGCAGTCAAAATCCCTACTTATCATACTTCGTAGCACAAAAGGTGGAGAGGCAAATGGAATACATTTTCAAAATTCAATAAGGAGACACGGAGCTGCTCCAGGACTTCATAGATCGATTCTAGAGAGAAAGGATGTTACTTCCTACTGTGTCTGATAATTAGGAAACCATGGCCTTCATAAAAAAATTGAATAAATATAGTTCCGGAGCTAAAAACAAGGCTGAAAGACAGCCGTCGGGAGTTCCCAACCACTAGAAGAAGAAATCTCAACACTTCTTGGAATTGGAAATAGGGAGGCGAAGGTATACAGCCATCGACCATAAAACAGTATGCAAACAACAAGACCCAAAACACCGAGACTTCAGAGTTCGGTACAAGCCCTATTCCGGGCCCCTCAAATGAATGGTTTTGGTCAGAGTTGGACGAATCTTCGCCAAAGGTAGACTTTGATATTTGCTGACCCGTTTCAAAACCTTTTGACGGTCCAAATTTCGTAAACACAATCAGAAACCTCAATTTTTTTTAGTTTAGATAAATCCTAAACCCTTCAGGGGTCGTTTGGTCGGAATACGATTTATACCGATATAAGTTATGCCGCTATAAGTTATATTGGGATAAGTTATGCTGAGATTATTGTTTATTCATTGTTTGGTATGTTGTATTAAGAATGACAATTGCATAATTTCTAAGAAGAAGGTATAAGTTATATCGGTGCTAATTACCCCACCTTCTATAAGATATAAGTTATCTCAGTGTTAAAATTAACACCGGGATAACTTATACCTGGTTTGCTAACCAAACAGAGTATTAAAGTGGTATTAAATTTTTATACCGCCCTTATACCTTCTTATACCTCATACCAAACGACCCCTTAGTTTGTGAGCTGCAAAAATGGTAAAAATAGCACGTTATAGCTAGTTTTCGAACTGGTCATTCAAAAATAGCCAGCGTATACGAAGTCAATGAAAAATAGCCACTATTTTGCTGCAACAGAGACCTGTCCAGCATAATATACTGGAGTTCAGTGCACCTGTGTATGAACTCCAGCATATTATGTTGGACCAGTATACTTTGCTAACTCCAGTATAATATACTGGAGACTGGAGCACCGGTGCTCCAAACTCCAGTATACTATACTGGACAATTATACTTGCTGGAACTCCAGTATATTATGCTGGAGTTCCAGTGTACTTATGCTGGAACTCCATCATATTATGCTGGAGTTCCAGCATACTTATCCTGGAACTCCAGTATAATATGTTGGAGTTCAAGCATACTTATGCTGGAACTCCAGTGTAATATACTGACGTATTTTTCGGGTTTTGAACAGTGTTTTCGCTCAGATTTATCTTTACATAAAAAATGGCTAAATTTCGATTACTTTTGAAACTGAGCTATTTTTGAACGACCAGTTGTAAATCTGGCTATTTTTGAATTTCTCCCGCAAAAATGTGATGAACAAGGCCCAACACACAATTTTTACGGGTCGAATCTAACCGGTTGATGAATTGGTCTCCACGGACTCGCGTACCTACCTACACATTTTCCAGATTTTACTTTGCTCCTTGGACCTGTGTGAAAAATAAAAATAAAAAGTTTTAACGTTTATAACCGTTGTTAACGTTAAAGCCAAAAAACTACAGATACCTAGGATACCACAAACCTTGGCTGCTTTATTCTAACGGCTAGTTTTCTTGCTTCACCCACTCCCCCCTTACCTCGTCACTATATATATACAGTAAAAGACCTTTTCAAAGCCAAAGTACCCATCTCTATCTACCTCATTCCTTCCTTCCACTTCTCTTCAAAATACCAGAGAAGAATCTGTTTAATATCAAAATGGCTGGTTTTTCAAGAAATGTACTTTCTTCTTCTTCAGTAGTAGCTGTTCTTTTCTTCTTCCTCTTGAGCTTCACAGAAGCAAGAGACCATTTGGTTGGTGGTAAAACAGATTCTTGGAAAATCCCATCCTCTGAATCAGATTCCCTCAATCGCTGGGCTGAAAAATCTCGCTTCCTCATTGGAGATTCTCTTGGTATGTTATAATTATCTGGACTATATCTGTAGTTTTATTTTCAGCTCAGACTAGGGGCTGAGCTGCTCCAAATTCGTCAGAAAATGAAACTGTGCAAATAGGGTATAAATAATTTTATACTCCTATATACATAAATATTGTTGAATCCCCTTAATACAGAAAAATTTGTATGTCACATAATGGAAATTTCTATTGCGATGGAAAATGTGATAGGTTGAAAATTCCAAGATGTGGTATTCTTGTGATTTTATGAATTCCCTTATTAGAATCCTTAATTTTCTATTGGCTCAGTCATATTTTTACTTAAGAAATCACTTGAAAGTTGTTATGAACAAATTAAAGCTCTTTTTTTTGGGGTACATCTACGAATTTCTTGACATTTGTCAGTACTTTAGTGCATCGATAAAGATGTACTTTTGATCAAGAAATGACCTTTTTCTTTGTTTTGTCTTTTTGGTAGTGTGGAAGTATGATGCAAAAAAAGACTCAGTTATAGAAGTGAGCAAGAGAGATTATGTAACATGCAACACTTCAAGTCCAATAGCAGTACACAATGATGGGAACACAAAGATAGAGCTAACACATTCAGGAGCTTACTATTTTATTAGTGGAGAAAAAGGGCATTGTGAGCAAGGCCAAAAATTGATAGTGGTGACCTTATCTGAGAATAACATGAGAAGATTCATGGGTGCACCTGCACCTTCTCCGACAGAATTTGATGGTCCAGCCATGGCTCCTACTAGCAATGCTGCTACATTGAAGGCTGGTTTACTTATGGCTTTTGGGGTTTTAATGGTGTTTTTGTTTTGATGTGAGAGAGAGTTTTGTAGTGATTTTCGTGGTAATTTGATAGACAGATAGTCAAATGGTGAGAGGGAAAAGGAGGAAGATGGGGTTCTTGGTCTTTTTCCTTGGTCAATATTCTTTAATTCAATTTGTTCTTTACTTTTGATTAAGTTAATTCAAGCTTTATTATATTATGGTAAATTGAACTTTTGTTTCCGGCATTAAGTTTTTTATTTATTCCAGTTAAAATCCTTGGATGAAAAAACCTAATCAAGGGTCATATGCTGGATGTGAAGCTCACCTCTAAAAGTTTCTTTATCTTAAGAAACTGTTTTTAAGGAAAAGAAAAAGAGAAAAACTACAAGCAGGCTCATGCTTGTTCAACCAGTCCTTTTAAAACCCACATCGGTTCCTACATCAACAGTGTTGTGATTAAGATAAAGAATTGAAAAAACTAAGTGACAGTCAAATTTCATCACATGTTGGATAATATAAAATACAATGCTCTTTTTTTTTTCTAGTAACCAAGGTCTGCGTGTACAAAGCCCAGGGTCTGTGTGTACAGGTGTACAAAGCCCAGGGACAAAGCTGGCTCTATGATTGACACAAAAAATGAATAATTTTTGTGCAGACGTATAAAGAACATTTTACACTCCTAATAACTTACTATTTAACTACAGGGTTTGATGCATCTAGAAAAAAGAGGGAGATACATTCAAATATTGTGTCTAACCAGTATAAACCTTTGATGCATAAACAACGACTGAATGCCTAAGCCAAGAGAGGCAAAACAAGAAGCAGGATAATCCAAACAGGAGAAGGTTGATGTGATGAGAAGTTGTATAAAGAACCAGCCAATTATTTGCTCCTTTTAGCTTTACTGTGTTAACTACAACAAAAGAATGTTACAGCAAACAAAGGGAAAATCTAAATTGGCAGCTCAAATAATTATATAATCAGTGTATTAACATTCCTCACAATCAAACTTAAACAATAATGGTTAGTAGAACATTACTGTAAAGCTCATAAACAAAACTGGAGCTTTCTGGAATTCTATTACTTCATTCCTTCACTTAGTCCTGCTGGCATTCCTAAGCTCTGAGCAAGATTGTTCATTCTCTCCTTCATGGCCTGCGATTCAAGACGTTATAATTTATGTGTCAAATTGTTGAATCAGGAAAGTGGATACCAGATGATCAAAGGCAACCATACGACAGAGCTGGTTTCGTAGTTTCTCACCAGTACACTTTTCTGATGCGCGTCCTTGTAAGCCTCTGTTACTAAGAGAGAGAGTTTCTGCATTCAATCAATGTAAAGCATGCTCAATAGAAGAACAAGACCAACAAGTTTCAGAGACTACAAAACTTTAGTTAACAGAGCTAGTTTTGACCAGGCCGAATCTAATTTTCTTTCTTTCATTTGATTTGTGGGAAGATGTTACAGAAAGCTTCCGCTTGAGTAGAATATGATTGTTGATACTGGTAGGTTTATTGACAAAACATTCTCTCAAGTAAACAGAGAATTTTTAAATAAGAGTATCAAGCAATATGCATGCAATATTAGTTGTACCGTTTATTTATCTTACACAACTAGGAGTAAGAAAAGTATTAAAAGGCGTCTTCTGATGGTTTAATTATCCAACAACTGCCAAGGCTTTAATTTAGAAATAGTATAAAGTAAGCAACTGTTCACAACTAGGAGTAAGAAAAACATTAAAAGGCGTCTTCTGATGGTTTAGTTATCCAACAGCTGCCAAGTCTTTAATTTAGAAATAGTATATAGTAAGCAACTGTTTACAATATGTACATACGATAAGAGCAAAGAGTCTAGTCATACAATCTGCTCAGCTGTGCACTCAATGCAGTATAGCAGCTTCATGCAGGTGCAAAATAAAGCATAAATTATGATTATAGCATGGTGATGAAGTTGTAAGATAGAACATATAAACTTACTTCCGGTCCCAAGTCCATTGCAGCCTCAGTTATTTCAATGCGCACAGGCTGTTGGTTACCAGAAAGTGTTGCCTACAGCACAGCCCACATCAATATATAAGCAATCACTAGACATCAAAATGTGCACGATTTTTAAATCTTTGCAGGTGTATTGTGTCCATAATAGCCATCAAAATGTGGAGGGGTTAGGAGAGAAACTAAAAGCTATCTTCAGGAAAAGCATCAATACCTTTATAAGCTCACCTTCACAATACCCATCGAACTCTGCACTGTAAATTAAGAAAATTAACAAATATATTTAGAGCACAGAGTAATGGAAGAGTGGCTGCAAATCATAAAACGGGTATGGAAATATTTATCAAGAGCACCTACGCTGCAAGTTCTTTCTGCACACGTACTGCCTCGACTTGAACAACCATTTGTGCCTTCTTTACAGTTTCATATAGATTTTGCATGTTTCCAAGTATTCCAGCCTGGATTCAGATTTGATCGATCATGACAAAGAAACATGATGATTTCAATATTACCCGAGACCACTAATGACCAGACTATGCTCGTCTTTTAAGGAAAATGACTATACATGAGCAGGAAGCTAGATATAAAAACCTAAGAACAGAATAATCTACAAATGGTCAGTAACTAGCATATATTCCATAGGAAATTGATATGAAGATTAATAGAGAGACTGTACATAACTGCTCCACAAATAACATCTTTCAAATGCATGGAAATCCATGTAGAAGTAAAGAGATTTATAAACTATGGTCAAAAGTCAAAACTATGAAAGAGTTAGCCACGGAATACTTATTAATAGAGAAATAATTCTTCCTGATAAATGGAGTACCTTTTTCCTTATTTTCATCAAGTCTTGCAGCAAGTAATCTTCTGAGTCTTTTATCAGAAAATTGAAAGGGTGGTTAGAAAATATCAGACCGATAGTAATGTTGGGAAACACTTGACAAATTCTCTGTTTAAGTAAATTTGTAAGACATTCTCTTGAGTAAATAGAAGTACCATCTCTAATCATGTGCCATGGGAAATTTCTGTTGAAGTAAATTTGTGAGATATTCTCTAGAGTAAATTTGAGTGTCATCTCTAATTTTGTACTCTCTAGCGCATATTTATGATATAATGGAATTACTTGAAACAAAACCCATGCATCCCTCATTGTATCAGCCTCAATCCTCAGCCCATTGTACTAATCCTCAACACACTCTCTCTAACTTTTTTAGCCTATTCTAATCTGCTCCCCCTCCCCCCCCCCCCTCTTCTTTGTCTTTTTAGGAGTTGATAATGTAGATCTTGTGCATTTAAGCTGGTCTACTTACATGGTCTACAGACTTCATGAATTGTTGTTCTTTCATGTTTCTGATTGTCTGATGTGATTTAGGACTCTTCTCTGCACTTAATGCATCTGATTCTTCTTTTTCCCTTTCTTGGATTGGCAACGAGAATGAGGGGTTTAATTTCAGTCAATTTATGGCTTATGCTATCATGGTTCATGGATGCCAGAAATTGGAAAAATGGGTAACATTGCTTAGGGTAGGAGATCCCACCTTTAATGATTGTTAGTGGTGCAAACTTCATTGCTTGTCCTACACAAAACCTGACGGTCTAAAGATACCTCAAAGTTGGGAGTTCTTGACTCCTTATTGTTAAATTTGTCAGCTCCCTAGCTCATTTTAAACTTCTATTGGGCACTTTCTTTATCATCTATGCATGTCATGTCGAACACTCATCCCTGTCTATTAGTAGAAAGATCATTGTCAAACAGCTCCAGATCAAAATGATGCAGCAGAGAAAATAATAAACAAGGATACAACATGTCACATTTTACCCAAGGAAAATTAATTAGCTATATGTAATCCACACTCCTAGCTCTTTTAACCTCCAGTAAAAGTTAATGGGCAAACATTATCCAGGTGCATCTTTTATTTCTATTCACACCATTTAACTTTTATTCAGCAGATTTTATGTTTCTTATAAGAATTGAATGTGTTTATACTCAAGATAATGGTAATCTAATTCCCCTCACTGGCTCCGACGGAACTATTACCGTATTACGTGTTGGGTTTAAAGAGACACTTTAAACCATTAAACTTCAAATGTACTCACCGGAAGGAAGTTTAAATTTGACTTTTGCACCTACAGGTGCACGAAAAGCACAAAATATCCACAGATATTACATTACAGATCTTCATTTATTACGCAAATTCTGACATGTAAGCCAAAAGCGGTTAACCAAAATACTGTTGATAAAAAAAAGGGTGAACCAAAATACTATCAACCAATGGACTAATTATCGAACAAAGAGGCAAAGGAGATTGCAATACTGCGCCAACTTGCGTAATCATAAAGCTATGTGAGAATTCATAACCATGATGGGAGGCTCACGTTCAAAACAACTAAAATCCTGCTAAGGATAGCATGAAGATCTCATTCAGGGTTGTCCAAAATATGGTTTAGCTCATAACTTACATAAGAATCAAGCAGACTCCTGCAAGATTTTTGCACAAATTATGTTTTTGTATCAATTAAAGAAGAAAATATTCTGCACCTTTGAGGAATTATCATCGCTGTTACTATCCTTTTTGCCACCAAATAAGCCTTGAACATGGAAGGATCTAGCTTTCTGTCCATCTCGTGACGATATACTTAAAGGACCAATAGGTAGGGTACTTGAGTTTGATTTACCTAAAACATGATGAAGTTATGGCACATTAGAATCAATCCTCGAATTAATCAGAAACCGTGAAATAGCAATAAACATCATACTACAGTTTGAAAACTAATGGATTTGCGAGGATAAAAGGCAAGTGAACACGAAGCATAAACGAGATAGACTAATATATTCTGCCTAATCTAATAAAACATTCTCCTATGTAGCTGGCTAAACCCTGGTAACTAAAAAGTAAAGACCAAGCTTTTCGCCTATCAGAATGATTTGGATCAGAACATGTAAAAGGGCAGTCCGGTGCACTAAGCTCTCCCATGCGCGGGCCCGGGAAAGGGCCGGACCACAATGGTCTATTGTACGCAACATTACCTACATTTCTGCTGGATCAGAACAAGTAACATTACAAAATCACTTTCATTGAACTTGGTAAAATCAAATGGTGAAATAGCTAAAGATTCACACTTTTTTAGGTATAGAGGTTGAATGTAAGATTACCCATTGAATTTCTGGTAATAAATCCATAACTACAAAGCTATTTGTAAATTTAAAAAAGAATCATCAAAGAACCCAAAAGAAAAAGG